TATAGGTAAGCTATCAATGCAAGAGGTATTACTAGTACAATCGGAATTCTCTCATACATTGTTTTGTTGTTGAATTGGGGCGACTAATTTTGGTTTATCTTTGTTGAAGTATGTCTGGAGGTAGGTTGAGTGATATGGACCACGAGGATCGCTATCTGGGTATTGATGGACCTGCAAACAAACGATATCAATAAGAGAACAACTTACTCTACATATAGTCGCATCCATTATTATATCGTTATGAGAACGTAATTGAACACGATCGATATTTCCATAGTATCCCAAATCCTTTTCGGTTTTGCCCGCTTTACTCTACAACAAAAGAGCCAATGTTCAACAAAAGAACGAGGCAACCATACATTCATATTTACATTCCAATAAAGCAACCCTAAATATGTCCCTCCATAGTTGCATTTCCGTTCGATATTTTTTCATTCATTCATTCATTCATTCATTATCTTCTTACATTTCCTCGTCGTTTCCTGAGGTACTGGAGTAGATCACCATTAGGTAGATATTCCACGATAAGAAACATTGGATCACTGAGTGTACCACAACCCAACATGTTCACGATGTTACGATGTGAGCCAACGTCTTTCATAAGCTGGATTTCCTTCAGAAACTCTTTCCTTTGTTCTTCATCAGCCATATCTGAAAGAACAGAACACTACACGTAGTATGATTAAAACGAGTTTAAGGGCTCGCTTTATTTTTGTGCAGTACTCGCTTTATATTGAACAAACAATCCTCTTCATCCGCGCGCCCACGAGTTGGAATCGCCCAGCAAGCATTTCGGAAATCGACGATTCCCGGGTGATAAGACATCATTGCAACCTACGCAGCCGCTTATTTGTGATAAACGCATTGCGCAACTCGTATACCTTGTAACATCTTTACAGCCACTGTGTAGCCATCTTCCTCTTTGATTGACCGTCGTGTACTTTTTCGCCTAAAAMTCATATTCGAACTGTATTTGGAGGATTGCTCCGGAAGYTCGACCAAAGTTCCTTTGTAAACTTTACCAAACGCGCCCTGACCGATGACGTCATCTAGCAATAGCTTGTCGTGGAACACCTCCCATTGGTCAATCATCGCTCCTTTTTTCCTAGAAAAGCAAGCGAGGTCACTCGTCATCAATGACTTCCTAGAATATGTATGGTGAACTGAATCACATGAATTCATGAATAAAAAAAATGGTGGACAAAATGGCGGATGAAATAATGTAAGAAAAACAATAGTCTTCTTCACGGTTGCCTGCGCCATCTTGAAAGGTAACCGTGCCTTTGCATCGAAGCGCGAGACGACCATTGAGCGGGCAAAGATGGGAACCTTCTTTCACAAAAACCTCGTTTTTACAAATGATTATGCACAGGTAACTATCATTGCGTCCTCGATAAAAAGGCACGTTTAACGTTTTTAAAAGATGTCGCAGGGAACCGTGAAGGGGCTGTTTGGAGAAAGGTGTCTGGAAGCCTGCGTGCCTCCCGCTTTTAGATAGAAGTTAAACTAGTTGAGCGCAAGCATTGTAGCTGTGAAAGTGAATTTTTATCTTACCTATCAACTATTCTACCCTCCTTTATCGCTTTCTGTCTCGTCGAGCGCAGTAGAAGCAGGATGATWATCAGTACAAACGCAACTAAAAACAAAACACCAATGACAAGACCAGCGGTTTCACCCTTTGAAAATCCTGTTGTAGGATGAGAATCGATTGGAGGACCTCCTGGTGAGAAACAATTGATACGAAAAGACTTAAAATTACAAGAAAAAAAAAACATTGTGCAGTTGATTGTGCAGAAACGTTTTGAGTTCTTGCATGATAAAGAAATTGTGCTCTCTTACCCAGTCTCAATTCTGATGTTTGACCAGCGATCAGCTTGTCCTTAAATTGCGGAGTCACCTAAAAGTACGTAAAGACAAGCCTTGAAACCATTTATACATACATGATAGTAAAGGTGACTGCATGAGTGACTTATTATGTATTATGTATATTTATGTCAGCATTTACCTTAACTGTCATTTGCATTCCCTTTTCCACTCCGGGTGTAATGAAATAATTCTGCAAGAAGAACAAAACCATGAAAAAGAAAGATTAGTCGTTTGTCAATCATTAAATTAATCAACGTATCAATCAATCAATCCATCCGTCCATCAATTAATCAATCCATTAATTTCTCAAAGTATCAATCGGTCAATCAATCCATAAACGACCGAAGAACCCCGTAACAGACTGAGCAAGCAAGCAAGCAAGCAAGCAAGCAAGCAAGCAAGCAAGCAAGCAAGCAAGCAAGCAAGCAAGCAAGCAAGCAAGCAACGCATATAAATTAATCCATCAGCAATATTTACCGCTGTAATATTTTTKGTTTCGATGTTCGCCCGCCTTTTTCTCGCASTTCCACTCGTACTGTACATCTCATAAGAAACATCGTAATAGCTGACGTCGCTATGGATGAACAGCGGTTTCTCCCAAGTGATGTTATACTTGAAAATTCCGATTTCTGTAAAGTTTAATCTTTGAGCTTTGACTAAGGTATCTTGGGGATCTGAAATTGAAATTAAAAGTTTGTTAGGTTGCCAAATGCTTCTCTTATAAACGCTGGAAGAGAAAATATAGGATGGGACAGGACATGCTAGGATACTTAACAGGGTCTGGAAAGGTAGAAAAAGATCGAGTAGATAGTCAGGGAGAACCAGGAAGCTCCTTATTACCTGGTGCGCGGATGACAGGGGCCTTAATTTCAGTTCCAGCTACGAATCTGGTATTATTGAAAACTGGTGTTACCTGGTAATAAGAAAAAAATAATCGAGTCATAAAATCATCGAAGCATAAAAATGGATATAATAAAAACACAGCATGATGATCGATGTATTAACAAATCAAATCAAGAAAAAAATCATTTTTACCGTAAATTCTACTCTTTCTTTGGGTAGAATATTTTTTAGAAGATAACTTGTGTCAGTCTGTCGAAGATAATGACATATTTAATTAACTAAACTTGAACAATCGTTAATAACAGTTAATTCAAAATCGTAAAAATTAGCAGCTGATCCCGAAACTAGGAGAGGTGAAATCACTGTAAATAAACGAGTGATATTCCTAATAGCAATTTCAGCTGTTTAGTTACCATTAGCTAACGGACAAATTCTGTTCATTTGTTCCACAAAACGCCGTCGCTACTCATTGCTTATTGATTGTGTGCAATAACGATGACAATATTTCATTCACTCATGATGATGATATTGATATTAACAATGAGCTTACCGTTGTTGACGATGCGCATGCTCTCTTGACTGTTCTTTTTGAGGGGCAATCAAGCTCGTTTCCAAGGTAACCCTTTAATGTGTAGTGAATTTTGTAGTGCTTTACTGTTTTAGCAAATGCAGGTTGGTTCCATGTGAATTTCAAACTGTATAGGTTCAGCGTCTTATCTTCCGTAAAACCATTTTGTTTTAGGTTGGTGATTTTTAGATGCTCCATGGTTGGATCTAAGAACATGGAGAACCCAATTGGTTAGAGTCATCGTAAGTTTTTTAATAAAGTATGTACCAAGAGACCACTTTCATGATGGCTACTACCAGAACGACTTGAGCATTTTCATTGTTATTCAGGTTTGTATTCCTTTTGGAGATCAGTAAACTGAATAATTGGAATGAATAGACTGCAAAAGAAAGTGAAAAAAGCATTCTGGTAGTTTATGACGCGTGCCATAATGAAAATTGCCTGTACAGTTCAAGGATGCAATTCCTGTCCAAGAAATCGCCAAGAAAGCAAATCATTCCTTTTGTTTGTTCCATGTTAAACCCTTGAAAGGCGTCTACAACCACCAGTTCTACGTACGTAATGTCAGATGCTAATAATAACATAATGTTTGCAGCAATATAAAAAATCTCAAAAGCCGTGTTAAGATCAATTAACTGTAACCATAAGACTGAGATAAGTCCTTCTTTAAATTGCAATCTTGCTTAAACGTTTTGATTCTTTTCTTGCTTGCTTGCCAAAGAATTGAAGTCTCAAAATACTTTTAACATTCCTGACACGGTTCTTTTCAAACAATTGTTATGTTCATGTCTTTATAACCGTAATGATACACCATTTCGCCGTTCGCGGATAATTCGAAATTTTACATTCACGTCGTTATGGTAAATCATTGACATCACTGGAAAGAGCGTCATAAAATGAGAATTATACTAGGGCCGCGAAGCGGCCTGAACGTATAATTCAGATTATATGAACAGACGAAGTGAGAAATATATGAGAAAACAAATGGTAGGAATTTCCCATTTAGTGCTTCAAACCACTTTTTAACACATATAGGGTCCCCAGGTGGGTACCCTAAGGTAGAAAAAACGATCCCTACCCATAAGCCCCCATGTGTCTATATCCACGTGGGACCATAATGCATAGCCGGCTTTTTGACGCAGTGCTGAGTTAAAGTCGTAAGTAACCCAACGGGTTAAAAGCTGGACTAGGGGAGGGAGTAGGGCGGGAACTCATATATTTCTCACTTCGTCTGTTCATATAATCTGAATTATACGTTCAGGCCGCTTCGCGGCCCTAGTATAATTCTCATTATATTTCACAGACTCCGTTCGAAATATATGAGAAAACAAATGGTAGATTTTAACGCACTCATGTACTGACGAAGTGAGAGAGCGTGTGAATATAAAATCACTTATAAATGTAAAGTATATCATGACTTGCTTTATTCAAGTAAATCAACTCTTGGGATATTTCCCAAACTACAGAGAAAGAATGTAACAAGCTAATGTGAGGATAATACTCTGGTAGCATATTCACTATCATGAGTAGGTTTGTAATAAAAGTTTCTAAACGTGGAAGGAGACGACCAGTCAGCCATGGACATAATAGTGCTCAAAGGTACAAATGCATTAGCAGCTGCTGTAGTAGAGGCACTACGCACAGAATGAGCTTTAAACATTTGAGTGTCTATTCCTGCACTTTGCAGCGTAGATCTCAACCAGCGCCCAAGTGTAG